AAAAAAAAAAGGTTGAGAAGGGAGAGGGTTGACATGTCATGGGGTTGTTAACCAATGTCATAAAACAATATGTGTACTACTGTTTAATGAGAAAATATTTGTTCTGTAAACCTTCACCTGAAGTACAATTTAAAAAAAAATCAAAATAAATAAAATATCGAACATTTCTGTCACTCCAGTAAGTTCCTTCAGGTACCCATCCACTCCAATGATAGTATTCTGACTTCTATCACCAAAGAATAATTTTGCCTGTTCTTGAACTTAATATAAAGGAAATCATATAGAAAGTACTGTTTGGGGTCTGCTTTCTTTCACTAGACATAATATTTTTAAGATTCATGCATGTTGTTGCTTATATCAACAGTTTGTTCTTTTTATTCCAAGATATGCATATACTATGTCATACATATATAATTTGTTATTCTCTTGCTGATGGACATTTTGCTGTTTCCAGGTTTGGGCTATTGTGAATAAAGCTACTATGGACATTCTTGTGTAAGTCTTTTCGTGAACATGCATATTCATTTCCCTTGGGTAGGTAATTAAGAGTGGAATTGTTGAGTCTTAGAGAGGTATATGCATAAGTTTAAAAGAAACTGAAAAATAGTTTGTCGAAGGGGTAATACCAATATAGAGTCCTACCAGCATGGTATGAGAGTTCCAGTTATGCCATATACATTTTGTCCTAGGGTGCTGTCTTAGTTACTTAGTGCTGCTATAACAGAAATATCACAAGTGGGTGGCTTTAACAAACAGAAATTTATTTTCCCACAGTTTAGGAGGCTAGAAGTCTGAATTCAGGTCACTGGCTTTAGGGGAAGGCTTTCTTTCTCTTTGGGCTCTGGGAGAAGGTCCCTGTCTCTTCAGTTTGTTTCCTGGTTCCTTGGAAACCTCCTTGTGGCTTGGCATCAATCCTCCCCCCTCTCTGCTTCTCTTGCTTGCTTGTTTTAATCTCTTTTATATCTCAAAAGAGATTGACTCAGGATACACCTTACACTAATCCTGTCTCATTAACATAAAGACAACCCATTCCCAAATGGGATTATAACCACAGGCATAGAGTTAGGATTTACAACACATATTTTTGGGGACACAACTCAATGCATAACAGGTGCCATGACAAAATATCATGAAGTGGGTAACCTTATAAAACTGAAATTTATTCTCTTACAGTTCTAGGGAATAGAAGTCTGAATTCAGGGAAGGACCATGCTCTCTATCTACTCTAGGAAACAATCTTCCTTGTTTCTTCTAGCTCTGATAGCCCCAGGCACCTTTTGGAGTTCCTTGGCTTGGAAATGTATCTTTACATAGTGTCTGTCTTCCCCCTGTGTGTAACCCTCTTCCTGTCTGTTCTCTCCTTTTACAAGATGCCACTCAGAAGGGATTAGGACTAGGACCTACCTTACTCCACAATGACCTTGTTTATCTTAAATGATATCAAAATGAAAAAACTGTATGTCCAAACAAGGTCACATTCACAGGTACAGGTTAGGACTTCAACATATCTTTCTGTGGGATCAATTCAATCCATAACATCCACCAACACCTATTATTCACTCATTTCAATTTCAATTATTTTAGTGGGTGTCAGATAGTATATTGTACTTTCCTGATAAACAAGTAAGTTGAGCAAATTTTCATGCCCCAGGTTAGAATAATTCACCCATGTTTCCTTCTAATACTTATATGCACTTAAAATAACATTTAAATTCTCCATCGAAATTTATCATTGTAAGAGACTGACCCAATTTAATCTATTTCCATGTAACTATCCAGTTAGTCTAACAAAATTTATTAAAAAGTTCATATTTTTCCACATTAATTTGTGATGCCTCTTTTATAATACATTTCCATTAGCGGTCAACTCTAATTCTGGGTTTTCTGCTCTGTTAAATTTCTCTCTCTATTATCTATACCTTACAACATAAACACACACACACACACACACATAAATAAATTCAAGTGGATTATAAACTTAATGTAAAAGTAAAGCAATAAACCTTCTAGAAGAAAGCATAGAATGCCTTTTTGACTTTGGGATAGGCAAAGATTAATTGAACATGACATAAAAACCACTAACCACATTAAAATTGATAAATTAAACTTCATTAAATTTAAGAACGTTTATCAATCAAAATGAACCATTGAGATAGTGAAAAAGCATAGGAGGCAGTTATGGATACGTCTTAGACATAACCAAACACCTCACAGGATTGGATTTCTGGGTTTGAAGGATTAGGACCATAGTTTGGTAGGACATCTCAGTCAACTGGCATAATAGAGTTCATA